ACTGTCTCATCCCAATCCTGGATTGCCCTTCGTTCTTGAGGTTGATGCATCCGAGACAGGAGTAGGCGCTCTCCTGTCTCAACGTCGGTCGCCCGATGGACCCCTACTTCCCTGTGGGTTCTACTCCAGGAAGCTTTCCTCTGCAGAGTGCAACTACCAGATTGGAGATAGGGAGTTGTTGGCAATCATTCTGGCTCTCAAGGAATGGAGGCACCTGCTCGAGGGCTCCGCAGTTCCGGTCCTCATTCTTACCGATCATAAGAACCTGACTTATCTTTCGGAGGCCAAAAGATTGACACCCCGTCAAGCCAGATGGGCCTTGTTCTTGTCACGGTTCAACTATGTGGTCTCCTATTTGCCTGGTTCCAAGAATGTCAGGGCTGATGCATTATCGCGGCAATACTCTGAGTTGTCCAGGGAGGACTCTGAGCCAACCTCGGTCATACCTCCGGATCATATCCTGGCTGCCATTCGTACCAGTCTGACTTCTCCCCTTGGGGAGCAGATTTTGGCGGCTCAAACTGACGCTCCTCCCGAGAGACCGGAGGGTAGATGTTTTGTACCCGAGGGGTTGCGCACCCGTCTGCTGCGTACCTACCATAACTCCAAAACTGCCGGGCATCCGGGGAGGAACCAGTTGTCTTGGGTCGTCTCTCGGTTTGTTCTGGTGGCCAACTCTCCGTGCCGACATCGCCTCTTATGTAGCGGCATGTTCGATCTGTGCCCAGAATAAATCTCCACGGCATCTTCCAATGGGTCTTCTGCAACCCATTCCCAATGGGGAGCGTCCTTGGTCACACCTGGGCATGGACTTTATTGTAGACCTCCCTGTGTCTCGGGGCCATACGGTCATCCTCATGGTCGTCGATCCTTTTTCCAAAATGTGCCATTGTATTCCACTCAGGAAATTACCAACAGCGCAAGAACTGGCCACGGTCTTTTCCAGGGAGATTTTTCGCCTGCATGGGTTGCCCAAGGTGATTGTCTCGGAGCGCGGGAGTCAGTTCGTGTCCAGATTCTGGCGCGCCTTCTGCTCCCAGTTGGGCATTAGTCTCTCCTTTTCTTCAGCCTACCACCCGCAGTCCAATGGGGCTGCGGAGCGTTCCAATCAGGCCTTAGAACAATTCCTTCGGTGTTATATCTCGGACCATCAGGACGATTGGGCCGATCTCCTGCCTTGGGCTGAGTTTGCCAGGAACTCAGCGGTCAACTCCTCCTCCGGGATGTCCCCCTTCATGGCCAACTATGGGTACCAACCCGCGGTATTACCTGAGAGGTTCTCACCACAGGACATTCCGGCTGTGGAGGACCATCTTGCTGCCCTGTGTTCTTCATGGGGGCAGATCCAGAGGGCTTTGAGGGACTCGGCTCAGCGTCAGAAGTTCCAGGCTGATCGCAGACGGTTGCCCGCTCCTTCATACCAGGTCGGCGATCGGGTGTGGTTGTCTACTCGTAACCTCAATCTTCGGGTGCCCACACCCAAACTAGCTCCCCGTTTTGTCGGTCCTTTTCGCATTCTCCGCAAGGTGAATCCGGTGGCCTATGCCCTTGCCCTTCCACCTGGGATGCGGATCTCCAATATCTTTCATGTATCACTGTTGAAACCTCTGATCTGCAATCGCTTCACTACCTCTCTGCCTCGGCCCCGTCCCATTCGGGTTGACGGTCATGAGGAGTATGAGGTGAGCCGGATCCTGGACTCTCGATTGGTGCGCGGCCGATTACAGTTCCTGGTTCATTGGCGCGGTTATGGTCCCGAGGAGCGTTCCTGGGTTCCTTCCGCGGATGTCCATGCTCCTGCCCTCCTCCGCGCGTTTCATACCCGCTTTCCTCGGAAACCTTTTGTTGAGCCGCGGAGGGGGAGGGGCCCTTGAGGAGGAGGTACTGTCAAGGTCCTACCTTTTCCCAGAGGTTATGTTACTCCATGTGCTAGCATCCATCTTGGATTTCTGCTGAGCATGATGGGAATCTTTTATGCCTTCAGGTCTCTGAGGTCCATCCCCAGAGGGGTGTGGCTGAGTACATATAAGCCTGGGATCTGCACATGCTCTTTGCACTTGTGTCTTGTGTCTTTGTCTTGCTACAGCTCTGTGTATACGCTCGTGACTCTTCTGGTATTCTGACTCGGCTTGTGACTAAGACCATTCTCTGCGTTTCCCTTTGATCTGACCTTCCGTTGCTGAACCCGGCCCGTGACCTGTGATTCTCTGTCTACTGTTCTGTACTGTTTTGTCCCGTTGTTATTGACCCGGCTTGTCTGACTACGCTATTGTCATTCTCACCAACTACACGCCATTGGCGGCGGCCATTACCGCAGCTGGGGTGTCTCGGGGGCCGCGACCTGGTCCCTGGTTGCGTCAAGTCCATCCCCACCATCAGGGGCCCTGGTGAAGGGCAGCCTGGGACTTAGACTCCGCGCCCTGAGGGACTTCAGTCTGTTGGTGGTGGTTGTCGTCAGCCAGTGCGTTACCCTGCCACTAGGCCTACCTGTCCGTTCCACAGCCCTGCCCTGACAAGTATACATGCAATTTTCTATTGGTCACCAGTATCAATTGCGCAATATGCAGCTGAAGTTGCATCATAATTTTGAATGGCTTACGTCATTAGATGGGTGAATATATCATGGAAACTAGAGCCAATCAACATTTTTTAGGGTCATTTTCGTTTTCAGCACCCCAAAATTATGTAAGATTAGCTAATTTTATGCCCAAAACGTTTTACCTGTTGAACAGTGATATCGGGATATCTCTTGCTGGATATTGGGGCTGTCTCTTGCTGGATATTGGGGCTCTCTCTTGTTTGATATGGGGGCTGTCTCTTGCTGGACATGGGGGATGTGTCTTGCTAGATATGGGCTGGAAGTGCCTCTGAGCTTATTTTATTAAGTGCTAGATATTTCTACTGTTTTGTACATTTTACTACATTGTTTTTTATAAACAAATTCTATACAAATTACTTGTATAGCTCCCCAAATTATACTTGGTTCCCTATTTTCTAAAGGGGCCAATGCTAGGAGGTGTGTAGGGGTAGAGACAAGAGGCAGTTCTAGGGGTGGGCAGGGGGTTGGAAAAGGTGTGGCCTAGGGGAGGGGGAGTGAGTTCCATTACCTTTTCTCTGAGAAAAAAAAGCCCTGTTGTGCAACATTACAACCTTCCAGCCTCTTGTGTCCTAACAACCAATGATGTCCTCATTTGATAAGGAGGATGTCAGCCCTTGTACAGCATCCTTGTTTACCCCTTTCCATCAACACTGGGGTCACATTAGATGAGTGAGGGATAAAAACTGAGCGAGAAGCGAAACACTGGAGTATGAGTCAGTACCAGTTTGCAAAGGTGTGTTTGCTTTGGAAGAATAAATCATCTCTAATGTTGGGTATCCTACGTGTGTGGATGTTGCTACGTATGTAAAACTATTAGTTTCGTTTTTTACATTTCTGAATGGGGTGCCTTGAATTTTAAAGGGTGCCTTAACTGAAAAAAAAGGTTGAGAAAGAGTGGTTTATACAGTGCTGACAGCTGCAGCATGTACTAATAACCCTTTCGCTGCTTTTAAACCCAGCTGGCAATACCATTTTTGCAATTTTTCCATTGCTTTTTTTTTGGGGGGGGGGGGGCTTTGGTAAGATATCAGAGGTCTAAACAGACCCCTTATGTCTCTTTTTTGAGACAGAGAAAAAATACAGAAGATAGTCCCTTTCTCTGCAGCCCAAACTGCACATTACATGAATGAATAAGTCTGTATTGAGACTCCTTTTCATTCATAAACTGATGCATGGTAAGCACAAGTTTACTATGTTCAGTTATCAATGGATATAGGAGCGATCAGTGGTGATCACTGCCTATGTCCATTGAAGGAAAGGGAGGGGGCTGGTAAACACATGTTCACCAAGCCCCCTCTCCCTCCCCCTGCTCTCCATCCTGATGACAGCTTACTCAGAGCAGCAGCTGCAGGTGGGAGAAGAGGGAAGAGGGAATGCAGCAAGGGGATCAGTAAGTCAGGGTCTTTGCAGGAGGGGGTCAGAGCGGTGGTGGTGGGGGGGGGGCATGTCTTGCTGCATTCAAAGCCCCTTCAGCTCCTGAAGCAAGTTGGCCGGAGAGGCAGAGGAAGGAAGCTGGCAGCTGCAGGCGATCGGGTTTGTGGGTTGGGGGGGCACAGATTGTAGGGATGGGGTGATGGAAATCACTGCTGGGGGAGTGAATTTAGAAAGTAGAGTAAGGGGGACATTTAATAAAAGAGAAGCGGGAGAAGGAGAGACAGGAAAGTGGCAGTATCGGCGGTGAGGTGGGGGGGGGGGGGGGTTAGGTGAATAGCTCTGATCAGCGAATTATCATCCACTGTTCTTCAGAGAGCTATTTTCTTGCTCAGCAGGTTCTGCTGAGCAGTTCTGCTATAAACTCATGGTCAGTGGAGTGACCATGAGCTTACAGCAGAAGGAAGAATCAGGTCTGTACGGCCTGCGGACCCAGCCAGCTGGAAGCAGTGCTGTAGGCCACACGGCATATGAACCGGATAGTGAAAGGGCTAAAGGAAATAGTTTGCTTGGTCCTAACTAACTATTTAAAGTGATAGCAAAGCTGGAGTTAAGCTTTAAAGCAGAACTGTAGACAAAACATTTTTTTCATTATGGATAGATTAGGGAAGAGTTATAACCCCTGTCAGTTATTTTTTTTTGGCCATCTTTGTCCCATTGGGAGATTTCCCTTTACTTCCTGTCCCAAAGGTCAAAACAGGAAGTGAGAGGAAATCCCTGCAAATTAAGGAAATCCCTTGGGCCCCCCCCAGGTGACCAGAATTAGGGTCCCCAATTGAAATTTCCCCTATATTGTATTTTTGGGGACAACCCAAAATTTGGAATTTTCTTTTACTTTTAATGGGGACACAGACAGCAATAAAATCCTGACAGGTGTTCTAATCCCTCTCTACTCTGTCCAAAACTAAAAAAGGAAGGTTTTTGCCCTTATTTTATACCTGAAATATATTGACTGAGCCATCATGTTTACCTGTGATGTCATTTCTGGTTGCAGTTGCATTAAATGTCATAGTGTACAAATCAGAGACTGTAACACTGCATCCCTGCTTGCTCAGGACATCCACTGCAATATTCTTAAGAGATCCATTCATTGATTTTGGCTCCTGGTGAGCATACACAATAAGAATGTTTCTGCCTATTAAAACAAAAACATGAATTATTTAATGGCAGTTTACAAATAGAAAACAAAGCAACATCTACTCAGTTTGCTTAAAGAGTTTTTATATTTATAGAAATATAAGCCTTAGATCAGAGTTAGGCTACCCCACAGAAATTGGACAGGGCTCATCAGGCAGTAATGATGGTTTTTGCCTACAAAATGCACAAACCACAGACAGGCAATATAAAGCCAATATGATGAACAATTGCAGCACCAAATTTGTAAAAAACAACATTATACAAAATGTAATCATTATTAAATGTAATAATAGATCACCAACCTCTGATGATGTCAGATTGGATGAAACGCGTTGAAAAGTGTTGAGCACACTGACGCCACACGCTTCAGTCTTGGAAGGCAACAGCATTCATGAAAGTGATTGAACTGGCTTTTATATTATTATTATTATGATGTTATAGTGCAGGCAAGAATAAAATATGTTAAAACCACTGCACTATGAGAGCCTTCCTTTTGTGCCTTATGGATTATGTGAGGCCATGTGGCATATACTGAGTACTAGGAATTTATATCTTGATGGCTGCAGTATCGGTGTCACCAAGGTCCAGATACAGTATATGAAGTGCAGCAGGTCTGGGGAACTGTGAGTGGCAACCGCCTGTCCCTGGTAAAGCAGTACAGACATGGTTTACTTCTATTTGCAAGGTATAGAATCTAATAAGCATACCATTTACCTCCAGATGGTACTTCACTGCTGGTATTCACAGTCTCAGGCATGTGAACGTTGTAGTTCATATTCACTTTCACATATTGTAGAAGATAGGCAATACCTTAGGAACTATTTTGAGCATACAGTATGGTTTTCTGCATTGTTATGATACATAATTAAGTACTGAGTTTTATTGCACTTTAGCAGTTTATGATTATCTATATACACCTGATTGAATTAAATGGTGTTTAAATGATTTATCAGTTGTTGCACTAAATGCATGGAATTTATGGTTATTTATAACATTTGCACATATAAATGTGTTTTTTGCATTGCAATTGTTCATTATATATGTTTTCATATAATTTCCCTTCCTAGCAGCTGGGTGGCACCCAACTAGTGCAGATATTGTGAATTATATGAATATAAAACCAATGTGTCCTCTTACAGAAAATGCTCCCAACTGAGATGAAAAAAAAACAAGCATGCACACAAAGGGCACACCTTCACTTACACAATCTATGAAAAAAGAATGCACAAAAAATGATAATTTTTTTCCTACAAGTGCTTTTTTTTATTACTTTTATATACAGTTTTTTTTGTTTTGTTTTGTTTTTTTTTAATTAACAACTGCAATTGTTTGTAGTTTGGTTGAGAGGTTTAGTTTAGTATAACACCTAGGGGTGTATTTATAAAATGAATATTACAGAGCTATGCATTCATATATTTTTCATTCATAAATACTTTTTTACTTTGTGGCCTTGGTCCAGGGCACTCCCAGACTGCAGCTACATGCATTGGGCTGTCATTCTAGGCCACAAGTGAAGTGTGTGGAGCAGCTTCACAGTCATTGAGGGTGAAGGAGAAGACACAGACACTGTGACAGGCTGCATTTGCAAAAGGACACTGAGATTGGCTGTAGTTTAGCTTGGGGAGGAATGGTGACACCCCCTTGACTGAGGACTGCTGGGAGGGGAGCAAAGACATGGAGAAGGCAGTCCCCGGGGATACTGTACTGGACTCAGTGTTGTAGATCTGTGTGGGATTACAAAGCCCAGAAGCTGTGCACCAGAGAGAAGAAACAAAGTGGGGAGCAGAAGCCAAGGGCTTGGGGCAGTCTCACTGGGAAAGCAGTGAGAGGTGGCCATTAGAATTAAATAACTATGAGACAGCACCCATCCACCATAAAACAAAATACAAAACCCAATTAAGTCATTTCACAATCCTTCCCTGAAGTACCAACAAAAATTATATAAAACAGACTTAAAATAAAATAACCCCAAAATCCAAAAAAAGACCAACACCAAACAGAAATATACAAAATAAGTCCACAGTCTTGGAAAGTAGATACACACTGATTCAGATGATCGATGATGAATCCCAAATACTCTTCATATACCTCAAAAAGAAAAAAATCTAGACATAGTGTATTATCTTAGGTCTCAAAAAGGTGCTACACGTGCAACATGCAAACACTACAGTGCCACGGCAATCGTGAGGGATTCAAATAAGCACAGTTTACACCACTGCAAACATTATAGTAAAAGTGCATAAATTACCCTAAAATAAATGAAACCAGCATATAATCCATAGTTAAGAATGGAGTTTCCTCAAAATGATATCATCTTCTCCAGACACTTCCATAGACCTCACAAACAGACCAGGGATCAGCGTATGAATCAAATAACATACAAATTTTTGATTATAGCAACTTACATTAAAAACGATAAAATCAGCTTCCAGGTCATGAAGCTGTATACACAGCCGTAATACTCAGCGATGGCTCCAAAACAATGGTCATTCAGCTCTAGAGGGGTGCCAGGTGGTAACTGGAAGTCCCAGGGATATGGACAACCATGTGTTCTAGAATCCAAAATGGCCACTACGGCACTTCCGGGAACGTCAAAGCGTCACTACATCAATGCCACGGATGCGTTTCGTCACATCCGGACTTTGTCAACAGGGATTACCCTGTTGTCAAAAGTCCGGATGTGGCGAAACGCGTCCGGGGCAGGTGAGTAGTGACGCATTGACGTTTCCGGAAGTGCCCCCGTGGTGGCCATTTGGATTTCTGGAACACATGGTTGTCCATATCCCTGGGCAATAGGGGAT